TAGAGATGACTTTAAAAAAAAAAAAAAAGTGAATAAAGGGAAAATCTCAAGCATCTATCCATCTATGTTTTCAGTAGGAACAGTGTTTCAAAGTAACCAAATAGCCCTACTTTGGGGGAAGGAAAGCTCTGCTTTACAGAAAGACATCAGCTGTCCTAGCAAGTCCCCCCCAACCTTAGCTGCTTAAAACAACACGCACTATTATCTCACAGTTCTGTGGCTCAGGAGCCCAGGTGTGGCTCAGCTGGGTTCTTTGGCTCAGGGTATCTTGTGAGGCTATCATCGAAGTGTTAGCGGGGCCTGTGGGCATCTCAAGCCTGGCTAGGGGACGATCCACTTCCAAGCTCATTGGTAGGTTCAGTCCCCCAGTGGCTATTGTCCAGAGGCAGGGCCAGCTTCATGGGCACGTGACCTGGACAGCAGCACAGAGCCCTGTGCTCAGAAGGGCTCTTTTTATTTTGTTTATTTTATTTTTTAATTTTTAAGTCATCTCTACACCCGGCGTGGGACTTGAACTTACAACCCTGAGACCAAGAGTTGCGTGTTCGACCAACAGAGCCAGCCAGGCACCCCAGAAGGGCTCTGTACTAGATTTAATACTCTGCTGTCTATTTGTCTAATACTTTTATCTTTGAGCTTGTGTTTTGTAAGCGAACCAATGGGACAATGGAGTGTGTATGTGAGCAGAGGAGATATGCCATATATGTGTCCGCCATCATTTCTTAGGACCTCATTTGCATAAATTGTTTCAAGATGCCCCATGAACACCACGCATTCTCCAAATGCTTTCTGTATATGTCTGAATTTCTTTTTTTTTTTTTTTAAGATTTTATTTATTGGGGGCCTGGGTGGCTCAGTCATTAAGCGTCTGCCTTCGGCTCAGGTCGTGATCCTAGAGTCCGGGGATCGAGCCCCGCATCGGGCTCCCTGCTCGGCGGGGGGGTCTGCTTCTCCCTCTCCCTCCCTCCCTCCCCCCTTGTTCTCTCTCTCTCTGTCTCTCAAATAAATAAATAAAATCTTTTTAAAGGATTTTATTTATTTATTTGACAGAGAGAGACACAGCGAGAGAGGGAACACAAGCAGGGGGAGTGGGAGAGGGAGAAGCAGGCTTCCCGCGGAGCAGGGAGCCCGATGCGGGGCTCGATCCCCGGACTCTAGGATCACGACCTGAGCCGAAGGCAGACGCTTAATGACTGAACCACCCAGGCGCCCCCAGCAAGAGTCTCCTGATGCCAGTCTGAAATGGTGGCCCCTCCCTCTGTTTTGAGAAATGCAAAAGCTGTTGTTTTTCTTTTCTTTTCTTTTTAAGATTTTGTTTATTTATATGGGAGAGAACACGAGCAAGGGGCAGAAGGAGAGGGAGAAGCAGACTCCCCACCTAGCAGGGAGCCTGACTTGGGGCTCAGTCCCAGGACCCTGGGATCATGGCCTGAACCAAAGGCAGACACTTAACTGACTGAGACACCCAGGTGCCCCACAAAAGCTCTTCGGAGGAGCTTTGCTCCCTCAGGCTCCCAAAGTCTTTTCCATGACCCAAGGGGATGTAGAAGTAAATGCACAGTCTGGATCCCGCCGCTCGTCCCAAGCTTGGAACACCTGGGCCCCCACCATCAGCCCAGATCTTGGTTCAGGAATGAGAAACAGAACATTAGGTCTGTGGACACACTGTCTCTCTGAAGCTCTGTGGGGCTGTCCCACCTCTCCCAACAGTCTCAGATCCCAGATCCTTCTTGACTTCATCAACCTCCCCTGTTATCAGCTGCTCCTTTTATAGGGCCTTCTAGACCCCAGAGGGCTATGTGGGACCTGGCAGCCATTGGAAGGTCTGCACTGGGGCCGACAAGATCGGAGAAAGCATTGCCCGGTGCTGGGTAGAGACAGACTATGAAAGCAGGAGAGTGGCTAGGAGGCCAGGCCAGGGGTGATGGTTCTTTTTTTTTTTTTTTTTTTTTTTCTGCTCTGGGTGCTTCCTCTGCATCTCTCTGCTAATGATGGGAGTTGGGGTGGGGGGCCAGTGCTCAGACTTCGGGGTCAGCCTGGGCTTCCTGCTTTGCCCTGTGACTGTGGGCAAGTTGTTAACTGCACCCAGTTATAAAATGGGTCATAAAATGGGGTTATGAGGTGCATTTACCGAGCGTATTGGTGGAAAATAGGTGAGGTCTTTCTAGAGGAGCTCCCTCCTGCCCCCAAGATGCTGTCCTCACTGCTCTGAAATTACCCCACTGTTCACACATTCATTACCAAGTTCTTCCTCCCCCCCAGGATGGACAATTCCTGGAGCAGGGCCTGGCCAGACCTGCAGGGCCCTGCAAGTGTCTGGCTTATAGGAGGAGGAGCAGTGGCTCCCTGCTTGTTCCCTTGCTCTTTCCTCTCCTTACGGGTGTAGCAGGCTAAGTGGAGGCCTCCAGATTCATGTACCCAGGGAACCCGCCTTTCTGGAGAAACGGCCTTTGCAGATGTTAAAGATCTCAAGATGAGATCATCTTGGGTTTAGGCCGACACACAGAAGGCCGTGTGGCCACAAGCTGAGGGACACTCGGAGCCACCAGAAATGAGTGAGCTTGTAGGTGTGGACAAAGTAGAGCCAACAATCTGGGCACCCGTGGTGCTTTATCTCTCGTCTGTTTTTTAATAGAGCATTCATTAACTTTTTCCACCTGGTTCAGGATATGGGAGGATATCTTCATAAATAGGTATGGGGGTTCACATTTTTCCTTTGTGCCTCAGGATACGTCTTTTAAAGCGAGGGAGGAAGGTGGGCCCAGAGGTAAGGGAAGGTCGCGGCCTCCCGGTGAGGGTCCCGCCCAGCGGCCAGCAGGGGGCGCTGTGGGGCTACGTGGCCAGGACGGCTTGGTGGGGAAGGAGCTGCAGCCTGGGCACGCCCCCTTCCTGATACCCCATCGCTCACAGCCCAAGCAAGCCAGGGGGAGCTGGCCCAGTTGCTTAGCTCTTAAGCGACAAGGCTACCCCTGAGTGTAGAGCACAAAAGCCCAGACCTGGCTCCCCTACCCAGGGGACAGCCTGCTGGGGACACCTGGGCCCTGCCCAGCTGGCCATGGTTGGACTTGTCCCTCCCCCTACCCCACCCCTACCCAGCAGCATCTCTAGCCCAGGTCTAGGGGGAGTCCCTAATCGCCCGTGTCCCCTGTCAAGGGGGTGGGGAGAGGAGATAAACTTTCCCAAGGGCCACATTCCTGAATGATTCCAATTTTGCCCGGTTCAGAGGCTCCTTCCCGCTTATGCCAACTGAAGTGAAGGAGGGGTGTCTTTCTTCCCAGAGGCTCTTCCCCACCCCGCGCACAGATGCCCCCTTTCCTCTCACAGCTCCCACAGTCCCCAGCCCTCTGGCTCCGGCTCAGCCTGAGCTCACCAGGGGCCATCAAGCCCAGGACGGGGGCAGCCCCCCCACCCCCGCCCGCTTCCCTCTCCCTGTCCTTTGCCCTGCTTCCTGCGATTTCCCTCCTTTATTCACTGCCTTCCCCCCTCTCAAGACTGGTCTTGGCCAGCCCACCCTCTCTCCTCCTTCCATTTGCTGCTTCCGATGGTCTGATAGTCAAGTCACCCTGTCCTGAGCATGCCCACATCCCCAGTACTGTGGTTGGCTTACAGCCTCCTCCTCCGGGTACCTGCCTTGTGCACTTCTATTTTATTATTTTATTTTATTTTATTTTATTTTATTTTATTTTATTTTTCACTCCTATTTTAAATTAGAGGTGACCACGCAGCTCAGAAAGGCTAAGTGACTTGCCCAAAGTCACACAGCATTAGGGGGCAGTCTGGCTCCAGAGTGCAGCACCCGGCCCTGCAGCACCACCTCCCTGGAAAGGCCTTCCCATTGCTGCCCTCTCCACCCCACACTTATGCCCCATTCACACAGCTCACTCTTGGCCCCATGCACTGGTCTTGCTTTCTATGAGTGGTATTCATTTATTCTTTGGACTTCTATTGAGCACCTCTGCTGTGCCAGGCCCAGAAGATGAAGGTGTAGCCTGCATTCGAGGAGTTCACGGTCTGGGAGACAAGACTTTTCCTGAACATCAGCTGAATCTTCCCAGGCAGCCAGGAGCCCTCCCAAGGGCGGCTGGAGGATGCGTCCTGCTTCTCCTGCAGCGCACCCGGGGGGGTGACCTCCTGGTCCCTCCTTGGGGAGTTGATGCTCTGGCGGTTGCCTCCATCATGCGTGGGGTGGGACAGGCCGGCCTGAGGCTGTGGGGTGCGGGATCCAGGGCTTCGGAAGGGGGTCTGGGAGCTGAGAGCTCAGGGAAGGTGCTAGCGGTTTCAGATGGTATAAGCAGACTTCCTTTCTCAAACACCCTCGGCCGGCACTTCCGGGAACTTCGCTCCCCCCGCCACCCTGTGTGGGATGCACAGTGCATTGGGCAGGTGGGGGCCCAATCCTTGGGTCTCTCCCTGGAGCATCAGACCAGCAGGGCCCATTTTCCTGAACATCTGTCCCTGATTCCTCCCCCACTTATCCCAGACTCCCCAGGGTGGAGATTTCCAGAACAAAAGATTAAAAGCCCCTCGACTTTTTAAAAACAAGTGCGGACACCCTTCCTGGCCCTCCACAGCCCCGCTTCCAGTCTCCAGCCCGTGCTTCTTTTTTTTTTTTTTTTTAAAGATTTTATTTATTTATTTGAGAGAGAGAATGAGATAGAGAGAGAGCGCACATGAGGGGGGGAGGGTCCGAGGGAGAAGCAGACTCCCCGCTGAGCAGGGAGCCCGATGCGGGGCTCGATCCCGGGACTCCAGGATCATGACCTGAGCCGAAGGCAGTCGCTCAACCTACTGAGCCACCCAGGCGCCCCTCCAGCCCGTGCTTCTGATTACACAGTTCGGGGCATGTGTGAGCCCCAACTCCGCGGAGCCAAGGCTGAGGCACAGGGGCAGGGGCCCTTGGGTGGCTCTCAAGAAAAGGTCTGAGCCCCGAGCTGAGGAGCAGAGGCAGAGGCGAGTGGCAGTGGGCAGGAAAAGACAGAATGAGCGGCGCAGACGCGGGAAGGGGGAGTCTGTTTAATGACACGGCTGGGTCTGGTTACAAACATCAGAAACTACAAAAGGACAGGCAGTTACACGCATGGCTGCACGAGCATGGGACAGGAGGGGACACGGCACAGAAGCCACAGTAGCCAGACATCCTTGCGGATGGCACACGTGACCAAGGGGCACACACGGGGGGGTTCCCCAGCAACTCTGACCCCGATGGGTGGACAGGTCCAACTGGCAGCCAGCAGCCGGGGGGCGGGGAGGGAAGGCCCTCGGCCCGCAGGGCTGCAGGATGGGACGGAGGCATCTGGCCTGTCATCACTGACAGCAGCGTGGAGCCCCACTCCCACTGGGCTCCTAGCAGCAAAGGCAGATGGGGCTGGCATTCGAGGTTTCTGCACCAGGGCCCCTTCCCCGGTGCGGTCCTCCTGTCCCACACTGCTGGCCCCTCGGTCTGCCCTTGCCCATGCTGGAGCAAGTCAGGGAGCCACATCCTTTCTGGGGCGGGGGGAGAGGGGGAAAGCCAAATCCTTTTTACCTAGAAGTGGAAAGCAGGAATGTGCGGAGCTGGTTGGAGAAAGGGCTGGACTCTGCTGGCCAGCTGGGTCACCCCCACCCTGCCCACCCAGGCCCTTGGGTCACCCTCACCCTGCCCACAGGCGTAGATTCTCTCTGTGCTGAGATGGGACCCCCGTCTCTGCCAGAACACGCTGTCTTCTGCCCAGAAGCATGACCAGGACCCCTCCGTGCCCCACACGCAGATGGGCAAAACCAAGGCTTCACATGTGCCTCTGGGCCCCGTAGATACACAGTATAGATATGTATGTATATATATATATATATTTTATATAGAGATTGTATATAGAATATATCTGTATATATGGTAGATGAGTGTGCGTGATGCTCTAGATAGGTGATGTGGGGACCTGCATGCTGGTCGGGCAGATAGAAACGGGGCTGCCTTATTCCCGGAGAGACTCAGACCTGCCCCGGACCCCTGTCAGCTGCTCAGCTAGGTCTCTGACAGAGAGTAGAAAAGCTAAGAAGAGTGGGCCCAGCTCTTCAAGGAGGAAGCATCCCCCACCCCCACAGGTCGCTGAGCTGGGGTCAGCATCCCCGCAGCCAGCGCCACCTCCCGGCGGCTCCAGTGGGGACTGTGACCACAACAGAGGCTGCCTCTTTCCAGGAAGATGAGTCAGGGATTCCTCCAGCTTCCTTGGCACCCAGAAATGGAGGGTCAAGGAGGGTCTTCAGAACTTGGCCTTCTGCTCAAGGTGCTGCCTGGGAGGGGGAGGAGAGAGGGGGTCCTACGGCCCCGAAGAGGGCAGCGTGGCCGGTGGGCTGTGGATGAGATAGGAGATGGAGATAAGAGGTTACAAGGGGCGTGGAGTGGGGCCAGGGAACAACAGGGTCAGGGGACAACGGCAAAGCCAGACACGATCTGCCGGAAGACCCAGCCCGCTGCAACCGGAAGCAACCCACCAGACCCAAGTTCTAGCCCCCTGTGGCCAGGAACTTGCTGTGTGACCTCAGACAAATCAGGTGGCCCACCTGAACCCCAGATCTTTCTCTCCAACGCGTGAATTACGTCTGCCGTGCTTACCTCTATGAGAATGGAGTAACGCCAACTGTGTGAACACATTTCACAAACTACAAAGAACCTTTCAAACGTCTGCTCTTCTCCTATTAATTCTGAGACACGTGTCCTCTCTGGTTGGGCTGTCTGGGAACCCTTCTTGCGACCCATAGGCATTCTCTGCACACGCAGCCCCTTTGCACTCATCACCATGCCCCCCAACCTCCTGACACCCCCCCCCACACAAAAAAATGCACACAGACCCTTAAGCAGAGACAGTTCAATAAACAGTGGCATCTGGCCCACCCCTGCTTCCCTGATAAGAGAAGCTGGACCGAGGCCTTCTAGAACTCTGCTCTGTAACTTCCTCCCACCATCTGAACCCATTTGGACCTTGGCAGTAGGTTGGGTCCGTAGGCCCCACGCCCAGGGAGCCACCCCTTTTCGGGGCCCATACCCGTGCCCTCAGGAGACCGGGGTGGGGGGGTGAAAGTGCAAAGGGACGAGGGGACAATCCCCACGACTTCACGGCTGGTGGGTGCGGGGGGAGACCCAAATTCGAGGTGCCCAGGCCCAGATGGATGCAGGGCTCCAGCCAGTCCCCACAATAGCCCCATCCATTCACTCCACGGGGAGCGGAAATGGGCAGACTGAGATTCTGGTGGTTTCTTAATGTTTGGGATTTGGTGAGATGTAAGTCCCACGGGTCCAGCTGGGGCAAGACAGGGGAGGGGACAGGGCTTCATGTCGGGAAACGCCGTCCATGTGTTTCTGATTCACTGGGACTCACGCTGGCCAGCTCTCTTCTCCCTCTCCAGTTCCTCTAGGCCCCTGTAAAAAAGCCCTTTTCTCTAGAAGCAGGAAGTCTTGTCTCCTGGCTGTAAACAAACTCATCTCTGGCAGCCAGAGCTGAGCCGGCCTGGGGAGAGGCGTGGGAGGGCAAGCCCCTTCCCCCCACAGACCCTCCCTGGCCCCCTCTGTCTGCTTCCGGCCGCTCTCCAGGCTCTACCAGCCCCTCCTCTGGCAGGTAAAGATCTTCTGCCGGCTTCCTGTCCCGCCGGGGACCTGGGGCAGGCCAGGGCCCAGCTGTGCACATCTGGAGTCACTGCCTGGCTGTAGCCAGAAGTTCCCGAGGTTTCTACTCTCCTGGGGTGGTGTCGCCGTGGGGGAAGGGAGCCGGAGCAAGCTGGGGCTGGTGTGGTCAGCAGCAGGAAGGTCAGGAGGCCTGGCCTCCCAAGGTCGCCCTCAGGGGACCTCCTCCAGAGCTGGGCCTGGAGGCCTTGTGAGCAGGAGGTCCAGGCAGGCTCCGTGGGCCAGCTTGGAGCCCAGGGAGGAGACGCGCCTTTTCCATGGGAAACTGCTGGGAATGTTTCTCTACAACGCGTGTCCTGGGCCGCTGGCTGACCCCTGCTTCCCATTCCCGCCTACGCTCCTCTCCCTCCTTCCTACCCCAGCTCTGCCTCCGCCCCTCCATTGAGCTCCCAGAGCTGCCTGCCCCTTGGGGGCCCAGGCAGGCCGGAGTGTTCCCAGCCACCATGTCTAGGGGCCAGCCCTCCTCTCCTGCCCCGAGTCAGCTGGAGTCACTGAGGCTGGCCACCCTGCTCGAGCCCATCTCCCCAGCCCTCACCCCAGACCTGGGAACCTGGCCTCCAGGTTAGAAGTGAACACCGCTGACGGTGTGTACGTGGTAGTGATACCCACGCAGGCCCCTCGTGGGCTTGGGCACGTGCGTCTGTGTGCACACACCCTGTGATTCTCCTGGCTCCAGCCCTATCGAGGCAGAGGCAGGATGGAGCACTGGTCAGCATGAGCTGAAAACACAGCCCCATGTGATTGGTACCCAGGGAGGAAGTGGTTGGACTTAGCCTAGCCTGCCTCTGGGCCCGATGAGCTAGCCTTCCCGCCAGGAACCTTTTAGAGCTGCCCTGGGCGGCCTTGGTCTTGGGGGCCTCTGAGTGCTCTCTTGTCCTAGAGAAGGAGAATTTGTTCAGGGCTCACTGCTCCGAGCAGCCCATAGTAGGGGCCGAGCCCTTTCCCATCGTGCCTGTTCTTAAATGTGTCAGACCCCAGACCCAGTGTCCAGGAAGTGTTCCTGCCTCAGCAGTCAGCTCCCGTGCCCAGGAGAGATGGGAGATCAGGGGGCAGGGGAGGACACGGCAGGGAGGCTGCCCGGCCCACCCTCACCCCTCCTCACGTGGTGGCGTTGGGGACCTGCTGTACCCAGCCCACTTCCTTGTAGGCAGCGGTCACGTGGCTGTAGATGAGGCCACGCAGCTTGGCCCAGGCTCTCTGCGTCTCTGGTGGGAAGTCATTGGCAAATTCCTCGGCGATCACCTCCAGAATCACCCCAGAGAGGATCTGGGAGCAAAGGGAGGAGGGAAAAGTAAACGCCTGGGTGCCCTGCACCCCCCCAAACCCCCAGGACCCCCAGCACCCCTTCTATCCAGAGTTTGGCCAAGGGGAGCATTGACGACACGACAGCCTGGCAGCTTGGGGGCCAGGCACCTTCGAGACCCGATCCTGCCGCCCCTCCCTGTCACAGCCACGCTGGGCGAAGAGGCCAGGCTGTCCAGTGGTCACCAGCTGTTGCCCCAGGAGCTCCCAGAGCAGAGCAGGGTGGGTGGTGCATGCCCACCCAGCCACGTACCTTGAAGTACACGGGCTCCACCTTATGCTTGAGGGCGTGGGCTTTGCCCACAAGGGCGAGCACAGAGGATACCTTCTCGGGGTCGTGCAGGTTTTCCACCACGGTGTTGAGGGCCCCCATGACCCGGCAGGCGTGTTTCCGCAGCTGGGGGCTCTTCTCCATCTCCAGGGGCTCGGTCATGTGCTTGAACTGGCTGAAGTACTGCTTGGCTGACGGGAAGTTCACAAAGAACCTGGCAGGAGGGGGTGGTGAGCGCTGAAGTAGGGGATGCCGTGGCCCCACCCCGAGGTGACCAGGATGATGGAGGTGCGGGGTAGGAGGGGCAGGACCCAAAAGTGTTTTCACCACCGTGTGTAGCTGTCCCTCAGATGCAGACCCTCCCTCTGGCCGAGCTGGTGTATGTGCAGCACCCCCCCAACCCCCTCCCCAGGTCCTGGCCATTTCCATCTGCCAGACTTGCATACTGTCAGCTCTGTGCCCCAAGCCTCTGTCTTTCTTGGTCTGGCCTCCTTTCCAAACCTGACACACCCTTCAAGGCCCGCTCCAGTCCCAGCAGAGAGGGTAAGAGCTCTAGTTCTGGGATCTCGGGCCAGTGTGACCTTGGGCAAGTGACTTTACTTTTCCGAGGCTTAGTGTCCTCACCCATGCAATGGGCATCGTTGTTCCTGGCTTGCTATGAGGATGAACTGAGAATCCGTGGGTGGAGTCCTCCACACAGTATGAACGCAGGGTGCTCAGGAAATGCCAGCCTTTATTGTGATCAAGTTAGAGCTCTCTTTGCAGACAAAGTAAAGCCCGAGTGACCTAGCTCAGGTCACCCAGTGCACGGAGGGAAGAAATGTGACTTAGTCCTCCTGCCAGCTCGTCTGTTCCCTCCTCACGACCTGCTTCCCTCCTCAGCCTGTAGCACATATTGATTGGCTGATTTAATTAGAGCTATGGACCGGTCTCACCCTCCAGTGTGGTTCCGTCATTACTTTACTTCTGCACATCACGCTTCTCCAAGAAGCCTTGGCACATCCTGTGGCAGACCCCAGGTCTTTTTTTTTTTTTAAGATTTTATTTATTTATTTGAGGGAGAGAGAATGAGAGAGAGAGCACATGAGAGGGGAGAGGGTCAGAGGGAGAAGCAGACTCCCCGCTGAGCAGGGAGCCCGATGCGGGACTCGATCCCGGGAATCCAGGATCATGACCTGAGCCAAAGGCAGTCGCTCAACCAACTGAGCCACCCAGGCGCCCAGAGCCCAGGTCCTTTTAGCTCTCTCCCTGCCTCTCCAGTTTACCTGAGATTGTCTAATCCCCCCCCCAACAAATATCACTTTCGTTAGGTCACTCCCGTGCTCAAAAACATTCAGTGGCTCCCCATTGCCTACCGGACAAAGTCAAAATCCTTAACCTGGGGTGCCAGGCTTCCTACAAACTGTCCCAACTCAGCCACCTTCCTCCAGCCCCCTCCAGCTGCTGGTAAAGCACTCCTTGGGCCAGCCAGCCTTTCCACACCGTGGGTGGGATGTCTTCCTCACTCTTTCTCACGTTGGACTGGCCTCCCCCAAGTGCCCAGGCTGGCCCAGGGTGAC